AATAAAATAAATGCGGTTCTTTTGAACTTTCTATTCATCAAAGAATCCTGAAAAATGGTATCGTTTCCACAAAGGTATTAAGCAGCACAACTGTTTTTAACAGATAATAATAATTAGAAATGTTTCTTGAGCACCAAATCAGCATATTAGAATGATTTCTAAAGGATCATGTGACACTAAAGACTGGAGTAATGGCGTAATGACATAACAAGAATAAATTACATTTTAAAATGTCTTAAAACATAAATCACTTCACCTGATTTGAAATGTATTATGAGTTTACTAAGGTTTATGAATCTGTGTCTGACTCTAGTGTTGCTGGGCTGGTGTGTCGGGGCCACAGTGCTTTTATATGTGTTGTACTCCTGGCTCATCCCCACTGCTGTGCAGTTCAATGGCAGTCTGGCGTTACTCTGGCACGATGTCATCGTTGAGCGTGCTCTTGATACTCTGACCAGATCAACTCGACCACAGGTGACTCAGTCAGTCCTGGCTAAACACAGCTTTCTATCGCCAAAATTACAGCGTGTACTTGTTCTCTATCTGCAACTAGGATGCATAATGGGATCTTAATACTGAGGGAGTTTAATGATGTTAGACTTTTGAGGCCCATAAAGTAAACAAAGTCATCACCAGACCTCTTTATTCTTTGTTGTGACCAGCGTCTGCTGAAAGTAGTACAGAAGCATGCAACCCGTGGTGACCCTCAGAGTGTGATCTCGGCCATTGATCATTTCTGCCGACACAGTGAATGGGCTATGAACGTTGGAGATGAGAAAGGTCAGAGCACTGTTTTTATACTTTATTTCCAGACTCATGTCAAATGATTTTTTTTTTCAAGAATTTTTGGACAAAATCTGAAAGAAAAATGTGTGTTGACACAAAACAAAATGTATTTGTTTAAGATCTTTTTTCTGAAAAAAATTTGAATATGGTTGCTCCAAAATAAGAAAACAGGTTTCATTAAATATGTAATTTTTGTAACTTAACTGAAGGTCAGTAAGTAAAAAAAAAAAAAAGAAGAAATTAATACTTTTTTTTGGCACTGGCACATTAAATTGACCAAAAGTGTCAGTAAAGACTTTTACATTGTTGCTAAAGATTTCTATTTCAAATAAGTCCTGTTCTTTTAAACTTTCTATTCATCAGAAAATCCTAACATGTGTCATGGTTTCCAAGTAAACATTAAGCAGCACAACTGTTTTCAACTTTGTTGATAATAATAAATGTTTCTTGAGCACCAAATCAGCATATTCAAATGATTTCTGAAGGATCATGTGACACTGACTGGAGTAATGGCTGCTGAAATTTCAGCTTTGCCACCACAGAAATATATTGCATTTTAATAGATTCAATTAAAATGTTAAAATATATTCAAATAGAAAACTGTTATTTTAAATGGTTTTAAAGGTGCTGTATGTAAGTTTTTGACTCTACTAAAGCATAAAAATACCATAATATGTTTGCAGATATTTAAGAAACATGTTAATTTAACATACTTGTTTATCTGAAAAACAATGCTACAGTCAGTTATTCTCCTTTGAAAATGTGTGTTCCGGGCCGGAATGTCGTCTCTGTTTTGGTTTGTGAAACCCGCCCACTGCCAGTTTACCCAATTGTATTTCGGCACCCCGGGTTGCCAGTTGGTGGAAAACACAGCGTATTTCATTTCATTCATTGTCAAGTGCACTCGTTCTTGTTGGTGTCGTCAATCTGGCAACATGCGTGTGCGTCAAGTCTGAGGAGGAGGGGCCGGGTGAAAAAACCCCTCTCCAATATTTTGAATTTGGACTGCAATACCTAGTTCAACCACTCGGTGTCAATCCTACATACAGCACCTTTAATTCTTCGCAATTTTACTGTATTTTTGATTACATAAATGCAACCTTGTTGAGCAGAAAACTCTTCTTAAAAAATAAAATAAATAAAATCTTACCCTTTTCAAACTTTTGAACTGTATTTTTGATCAAATAAATGCTGTATTTTATATCAAATAAAAGTCTTGGTCAGCATAAGGGACTTCCTTAAAACACAGAAAAAAAACGACCCCTAACCTTTGAACAGTAGTGAATATTCTTTATTGCTTTGCCTCTGAATAAAAGCATCTGACAAATTACTTTACTGTTTAATGTCCAAAATACGTTTAAAGATGAAGAAATACAAATGTATTTCTATTGGAATCTGCATGTATTGCATCCATTCAACTCAAATTCAATAATTTGTGTAATTTTTACAAAGCCAACTACAATTTTAGTGTCTATACTCTCAGGCTCTATCCTGGACTCAGTGGTGAGTGAGTTGAACCCAGAGAAGGTCCTAGAGTTGGGCACATATTGTGGATACTCCACAGTGCGCATCGCTCGTCTGCTTCCTCCTGGAGCTCGACTGATAACACTGGAGTTCAATGCAGATTATGCTGCAATAGCTCGACAAGTAATCGCCTGGGCGGGTCTTGAAGACAAAGTAAGGGCCCTGTTCCTCCACAAACAGATTTCACATTGTTTACATACAGTAATCCTTATTCATCTGAACATTATGGTTGTAGCCTATATATTTAAAGGATAAGAGTCATTTCTTGTTTATCATGCCTTGAGCTAATGTTTTACTTCATCAGGTCCAGCTTGTCGAAGGTGCGTCTGAAGATTGGATCCCACGCATGAAGGAGCACTTTGGAATTGAAACATTTGATTTTGTTTTTCTGGACCACTGGAAGGACCGTTACCTCCCTGACACAAAATTAATGGAGGTGTGTTTGATTCTGACCACTGTAATCTCATTCAATCTCAGTTAGAGATTATGGTGTCTCTTCCTGTAGCCCAAACAGTAGAGTATGGCACTAGCAAATGTCAAGGTCATGGGTTCGATTCCCAGAGAAAGCAAAAAGTCATATAAATGTAAATGTGTACCTTGAATGCAAGTTGCTTTGTATAAAGTGTCTGCCAAATGCAAAAATGTCCAAAATTTTCTGAATTTACTGCTATGCCAGTATTCTCTTCTCGGTTTTGCTCACTACGTTTATATCCAACATTTTCTACTCTTCTCTTTTTCTATCTTCTTTGTTTGTAGGATTGTGGTCTGCTAAGGAAAGGCACCGTTCTGCTTGCTGATAATGTGATCTGTCCAGGAGTCCCAGACTATCTTGAATATGTGCGCAATAGCCTTTCTTATAAAAGCTACTATTTTAAATCCCATTTAGAGTACACCAAGGCAGAGGACGGCTTGGAGAAGTCTGTGTTTTTGGGCTAGAGATATACAGGGATGGTTCATATGCTTAAAAATTGGACTTTTGCTGAGAGTTTATGCTCAGAGTTTCTGAGACCCAGCATGAGGTATATTTTAAATGATTTATTATCATAAGTCCCTAAGATGTATTCAGGACACACGGTTCTGCATTTTACTTGATCAATCCAGAGGTTTTACCACTCTGTACCACTAGAGGGTAGGATCACATTTAAAATGACTGAAATGTGTGGTTGTGTCTAGACCAGACCCCTCTTACAGTTTAACCAGAACTTTTTATCTGAAAAAAGCAAAACATTTTATAACAATGACTTTATATCACATATTTGTGTTTGTACAGAAAATAGGACTTTTGTAGGTTGTTTTAAGGTTATTCTGTAATAATTGAAACTATGCCACTTTGTGTTCATGAAGATATACAAGTCTGCAGTGATGATAATGACGGGCATTTGGAGTGTGCTAATTTGATGTATTTGTGCAGTATTGATAATAGCATGGATTGCAGTTGTATTAGTTTATTTGGTTTCAAAACATTTGGTGCATATTCTTGTATGCTTTTTACTAATTTTTTTGTTTTTACTATAAATTTAAATTTTTTTGTCTCTAGCATTTATATTTTTTATTCGTCTAAATTTTTAAGGTAATAAATTAATTAGCTGTTACTATTTTACTGTAATTTTTTGTTTTTGTCTGTTAACTAAGTTATAAAAAGACATTTTCTTTACCTCACCCTTTCTTTCTTTCTTTCTTTCTTTCTTTAACACAAACTTGAGGGCCTGCATAGAAGTTGTTGTCTCAAATACCAAGACTATAAAGATGCAGACAATTACATTTTTATTGAATGTTCAGATCCCTCAGATTGTTATATCCCACAACTTGAATTGACAGTTATAAATCTATAATAGCATCTCAAATTAAATGCTACAGCCCATTAAAATATAGCTACCTTGTGATTTATAATAGATGAAGCATCTCGTAAAAACATACAGATAGTAATACAGATAGTATAGCTGTATACTTCAACTCAGTTCATCTGTAAGCACACTAATAAATAAATTAAAATATTACAAGCACCTTAAATGATCTGTGGACAAGGAATATTTTGTCACTCAATTGCTGGTTTGCTTTAAAATGTAATATGATGCGTTTATTTGAACAATTCATTCATAACATAAAGCAAAAGATGAACAGTGAACAAAAAGTGAAAAGTGAACAGTCAGTCAGTATGTTGGGAATGTAAAAAGCCATTAGCCCATATGTATTTCAGCGATGGTGCTATTATGGACTAAAGTAAGGCTATACAATACCATTTAAAAACACACGTGACCTTGAGGTCAACTAGATTATCTGTCTTTATAAAAAGGCATAAAAGTCATTCTAAAATGTAGCTACTAAACAAAGCATATAAATCATTATGAGGAGACCAGATTGTTGCGTATATATAAACAGACGGCCTGAATGCAGAGAACTATATCTAGCAGTTCACATTAAAAATATATACGGTCCATCTTTCTCAGAGACTTCTCAAATGCATGCATGTGGTAATCCCAATCTGTGCCCATTAGTGCACACTGAGAGAGACTGAGTGGGTGAGTGAGTGACAAAGTGAGAGAGAGAGGGAAAGAGACAGAGTCAGGGGGCTTTTAAAGGATTTGACAGTGATTTGTAGAATCAGTTGTGGAATGTTTGGGCATTTCCACCTTTTCCCTCGTTTTATGTTTTACTAAAGCTCTGAATACTTTCTACGTTAAGATCTCATTTTAGTCAAAAGAATCTTTAGATTGTCGTTGTGTGTGAGAAGACTGTGGACATTTTAAGATGAGAGCTGAAGACTGGGATGCTGGTGACGTTTACTGTCGTGCTTCAAAACCATCAAACTTCAGTTCCAGATGGGCGCACACTGGCATCAGCAGCAGTCGGTGAGACATTTTTAAGAAGCGAATAAATTAATAATCCTTACGTCAGTATATTGAATGTAAATGTGCGTAAAATGTTGTAAAGATGTCTAGTAACGCGATAAATGGTGAAGAGGGATTAGTGCTGCTGTTCGCCTCAACGCTTAATCAAACGGGCGCGTGTGTCTTCCCGCGGGAACTTCAGTTTTTAATCCAAATATAGCACTTTTTCCGCTCACCTGTTGCTGAATATGTATGAGCTAATTTACATACAATTTTAATATGCATGCCTATACATGCCCTCTTATTCTCAACGGTCTGTTGAGTGCGAAGACGTGCAAGTGAGTTCATTTTCTAGAGGACAGAGACTTTAGGTTGAAATATAACTTTGAAGAATAATTATAAAATATAAAGTAGCTGATCATTCAGATGTGGAATCAATAATAAAATTACATTATATGCACTGCATTTCGGTAAATAAAAACTAGTACTTCTAGGATGTAAAAAAATATGCATCCTTACAAAAAATTACCATGGTAGTACAATGTCTTTGGTCACTGTGCTATGATGGCAATACCATGGTATTTTTTGAAAGTACCTTACAATATCATTGTGCCATGGTATATGAATGTGTAACCAAGTTGGTTGGTACATTTTTTATTCTTTGTTGAATATTTATGGTGGAACAAATGGAATAGGAAAAATGGAAATCAAAGCCCAAATCCTTGGGTTAAAAGATTCTAAATAAATAAATGGAATGGTAAGTTGTGAAAAAATGTGTATTTGTGAAAATTATATTAATATAAATGTAATAATATAAATAGGCATTATAATTTATCACATCTTTAATCAAAATATAACTCATTCCTATTCTGTATTAACTAACATTTATATACTTAAAAAATCTTACTACAAATTATTTTACAATATTATAAAGTATATATTATATACTATAATTATTATATTTAATTACATTTATTTGTATTTAATTATATTTAATTTAAAAGTTTTACTCAGCAGTTTTTAATTTAATCTTAATAATATCAGTGAGTGTGGGTCAAGAGGTCAAACATTCAGCTGCGTTATCACACATTCTATCTACAAAGCAGAGCTGTCATAAGGTATGTTTTATACATATTCTCATGTACACCTTCTGTCTCATTTCTCCATAGGAGACACAGGTAGAGAAGAAAGCATTGTGCTTTAGTAGAAGAACCAGCCACTTGCATGGCAGCAACTATGACATCACAGCACCACACAGCATCACTATGTCATCACCGCAGGATCAGCGGGGCGCCCGGACAACATGTGGGCTCCCTGATTCACGTCATGTGGATTGTGATGATGGGATTTACTCCAGAAACCTGGGCCTCCTCAGAAACTCAGCCTCATTCCATAAAGATCGAGGGTGACATCACTCTGGGAGGCCTTTTTCCGGTGCATTCCAGGGGCCCCGCTGGTGTTCCTTGTGGGGAAATTAAGAAGGAGAAGGGGATCCATCGTATGGAGGCCATGTTGTATGCGCTGGACCAGATCAACAGTGACCCAGACCTGCTGCCTAACATTACCCTGGGTGCCAGGATACTGGACACGTGCTCCAGGGATACATATGCACTGGAACAGTCCCTCACCTTTGTCCAGGCCCTCATCCAGAAGGACAACTCAGATGTTCGATGTTCCAACGGAGAACCGCCCATCATCCCAAAACCAGAGCGTGTGGTAGGGGTCATCGGGGCTTCGGCCAGCTCTGTGTCCATAATGGTGGCCAACGTTCTTCGTCTGTTTGCGGTGAGAGAGATCTTTTTAGCTAACTTAATTTTAATGAACTACATTTTAATGTTGATTCCTTCAGTTTCAGGCTCCAGAAAGGCTTCAAGGCAGGTGGAAAAAAAAATACTATTAGAAATCACCATACTTTCCCTAGCAGCTTCTGGGTGCCAGGATACTGGACACGTGCTCCAGGGATACATATGCGCTGGAACAGTCCCTCACCTTTGTCCAGGCCCTCATCCAGAAGGACAACTCAGATGTTCGATGTTCCAACGGAGAACCGCCCATCATCCCAAAACCAGAGCGTGTGGTAGGGGTCATCGGGGCTTCGGCCAGCTCTGTGTCCATAATGGTGGCCAACGTTCTTCGTCTGTTTGCGGTGAGAGATCTTTTTAATTAACTACATTTAATGTTGATTCCCTCAGTTTCAGGAAAAATACTTCATTTTCAAGGCATGACACTACAGGTGAATAGTGTAAAAAAAATTAACCATTTAACTAGTTTATTATTCTCCGGACACTAAGACAATTGTTTTGTATGACAAGTTTTCTCAAATGTAATGCAAATGAGGCACTATCTAATTAAATATGCACTCATTTGCATACATTCCAGAACAGAAGTCTGAGCATTGGATAAAGCCAGTTTCAAAATCTTGAGGGAGGAATTTTTATCACTCCATCAATCAGAAAATATTTTCCACCGCCAGAAAATTCACCATATTAGAATAAAATATAAAATAAATCAGGTGGATGTTATAATGAGAAAACACTCCTGTAAAAATCTTAAGAATATAGAATATAGATAGAAACAAAACTGCAAAGTTTGGTTCAAGTAGTGCTACTGAAATGAAGATTTCAGACACAGTGCGTGAGAAAAAAACTCACTTTGAGAAAACAGCCTTTAAATGTGTGCATTGTATTTGAAATCTACAGGTGCAAATGGCTAAAATGTAAAAAAATCTAATAAAATAAATGTACATTTTGAATGTTTTCTTTCCACATGTTATGTCTTAATTTTAAGAAGGCATGTTATGAAACAAAATAGCCCAAAATCTCAGAATTTACTAGTACATGTAAAAACAATGGTTTTGCCTGTAGTGTCTTTCTATAAGACAGATTTGTAATTAGGTGATGTTTTTTTGTGTGCTTTGTAAGGCTCTGTTTATGTTGTATATGTGTGTGGCAGTCATTGGATTCCCTTCTGTTTTGTGAGGAGCTCTTGCATGGTTTTGCTGCAAGACTGGATTCTGCAGCGCTGCAGATAGGGCCAGTGCTACAGCAAGTATAACTAATTCTGTTAAAAGGTTTGGATTGTGTTTCAACTCACTGGCCTCTCAGCAAGAGCTTCTTAAACGATATAGATTCTTCCTTTATTTTGTTCTGAGAGAGTGTATCATATTTTCCTTGAAGTGAGAAGTGTTTTTGAATTGCGCCGTGTCCTTAAAACATTGACAACCACGAAGGTGAAATGTGCTGTGTGCATGTGTGCATGTCATTTAATTTCAAATCCTTTCTCATTTTCAGATCGTCATTCAGTTTGCAAATCCTACACTTGAGCTACATTCAATTTCATTCCACCCTCTGCCACTTTTTAAATTTTTTTATTTATTTGTTTTAATCATTAATGTTCTTTGTGGTCACCGCATCAGGCTGCGTGTGCTTAGTACGTGAGCTGATAACCCCACACAGGAGTTATCTGCAATCATTTTCAGTCATCACAGTTTCAGGGAAGATAAACAATTCACAAAATAAAAGTGACTTAGTCAGAGCTCCATTAGGTTTCTCTCAGGACATTATACCTGGAATTTGTGCATCCTAATCATATTTTGCTGTGGTTATTCATTACTTTTAGTTATACACTCTGGAACAGGACTGGCTGATACAGCTAAAACAATCATATCTAAATTTTCTAGCCTTTTTATAATATTGGATAAAGGGGAGACTGGGGCTAGTTGAATAAATGAACAAATGAACCTTGAGAAATATTTACTGGAATAAAAAGTGTCACCCGGACTTCCATATATCTTGAAGACTCTACAGGAAAAACCATTGTTTTTTCATGTACTGGTCAATTATGAGATGTTGAGCTATTTTTTTTTTTTTTACGTCCATTAGTCTTGTGTCCATTAGTCCAACATTCTTAGTCTTCTTCTTTTCCATCAAAAATACACATTTAGGCATTTATTTTATTACACTTTATAGACTTTATCTATTTGCTTCTGTAGATTTCAATTACAATACATATCTTCAAAGCTTTTTTTCCCCCTCATATACTGGGCCAGAAATCTTCAATCCAGCAGCACTTACATACACCAAACTTACGAGTTTTATTATTTTCTATATTCTGAAGTTTTTCACAGAGGGGGTTGTTCATATATTATTTGCCTGATTTATATGATATTTAATTCCTTAAAACAATTTTCTGGCTGTTAACAGTATTTTCCGATATGTGGAGTGATATGCACAATTCTGTCTAACCTATAAATTTTAATATGACAACAAAATTAAAACAATTTTTTAACATGACTTTATCCAATATCCTCATATTTTCATATTTGAACATAACATTTCAGAAAACTTGTAATGCAAAACAATCTTAATGTACTGTGATTAATCAACTGGTGAAGTATGGTGATATCTACTGTATAGGTTAAAATCTTTTACCCTATTTTACCCTGATATCTTGCCAGGGTGCTTTTTGTTTGTTTGTTTTCTTCATTATTAAAAGTATAATTTCAACCAGCTTATTAGATTCATAACGTTTAGTGCATGATGTAAAATACAATTAAAATAAAATTAATAATTTATTAACTATCAAGGTAGTTTTCCACACTGTTTTCCTCAAAAGGATTTTTTTGTTTATATACAACAATACATAATAATAAACATTAATCTTTTTTACAGTGTTTTTGTCAAATATTATAATAAAATAAAAACAAAGAGACTTCCATGAATAGTTTTAAATAGTGATCGAAAGGGAGCAAATAAGGAGTTTAAATCATTTGATTGAAAGGGACTGTGTGTATGGACGTACAACAATGATTTAGTCACACAGAGATTAAAAATATAAAAACCATCTTGAATCTTTTTCTATAAATGTCGATCTTCCCACTAGTTCATGTCTATGTTCCTTACTGAGTTCTGGTAAGTGGGAACTGAGGATGGCAGATATTAACTACAGCATTATGGAGGATCTGCTCTCCATTAAAGCCCTCTCACCAGCTCAGACTCCTGATGGGAAATCAAGCGTGAGCCCAGAGAAATGCAGCTGCCCTGTTATAATTTACAGGCAGCTTCTGTTCTGTGGCTTAGCTCAATGAGTGTGAGCCTTTAGCAAGTAGATCGACATGGACAGATAGCCAGCATTTATGGGTGGCACTTCGTCTCTTAGTCTCACATTCTCGAAATAATGGTATTCACAAATCCGGAAAAGGTTGTCTTAAAGACAACACAAGTTGTATTTCTATATATAAATTTACATTACCATTCTATATCTGGTCTATGTGATTGGTGGATGACATTCAGCCTAAAGCAGATTTTTGTATAATTGGATTAAGTGCCATACAAAAGTGTTTTTTTTTTTTCCTTAATTTGATTTTATCTTGCAACGTTGTCACTTTTAAAAGAATAATTTGGAATTTCCTTAAGCAAAAAGTCATTATTACCTTCATTATAAAAAAAAAATCAAATTGTAAAATCAAAATCACATTGTAAATCTTTAATAAATCATAGAGTATCCTATACTAAAAAAAATTTATAATAATTGCCGGGTAACCTAAAATGTATTTTAAATGAACTTTTTTTAATCAGAAATATTATTTAATCTGGATGAATCAACCTGAATATTTTGGGTTGTATTTGGCTAACAGTTAAAGTCACTGTTAAGGGTCAGATCATAACAAAATAATGCAGATGTTCATATTTTCAAAAAAATAGATGTTTAGGCAACAAGTTGAAACACTTCTAGGAAATGCGTGCATGTGACTGCTGTTAATGTTGACATGACTCAGATGTGGAAAGGCTTGAAGGCTATAATGTTTATGGAGCATAGCAACAAATCAGTTTCTGAGACTAAATATTTCAGTAACATCCTCCTATAACCATGTTTGTTGCTTGTATATTTGCATTAAACTAATATATTAGAATTGCATTTGGATGGTTGGATGGATAGTTTGCATTTGCGAACTTTAAAATTTGTTCTTTCTCATGCAAGATGTAACAAGTGTCTAGATGGTCATGGGTAGATCAACAGTAGTGCCACACACTGTAATCTATATGTTGCATGATGGGGGAGGAGCGCTTAAATATGTTGTAGCATCTAAGCTAGTAGAATTAAATATATTGTATGGCTTATGGCTGAGAAATGGCAACCTTGTCTCTTGATCTGTCTCTCTCCCTCTGAGTTTAACGTAATTTGACTAAAACCCCTCTAATCCTTCCAGATAATCTGTCAAATGGTCCTCTCCCTCTTCTCTCCTTCTCCGGTCTGTATCCACCTTTTCTCACTGTCCACTGGCCGGCTTCTTTAAAGAACCTTTCATTAAGCCACACGGGCTCGGCAGACATTAGTCTGCGCAAAGACTAGTCCAGTGACATCAGCTGCATTATTAAGAAACTAGCACAACAGTAAATTAATCTTCTCATCCTTTTTTTATACAAACAAATGCTTTTACAGTGGTAGCTCGTGCCATCTGAATTTCCCCAGGATTTTTATGTGCTGCAGAAAACACTACCACTAAAGCTAGGGTTGTTTTGCTCAGTGTTGGGGAGTAACTAGTTACATGTAACGGAATTACGTAATTTAATTACAAAATAAATGTAATTGTAATCAGTTACAGTTACTGAGAAAAAAATTGTAATTAAATTACTACATACAGAAAGAGTCATTGAAAAATTGCGCACAAACACGCAAACATAGACATTTCAAGAATGATACAAACAGTAAAGTGTTAATTTCAGCAAAATGTTCAGTAAAATGTCAGTTTTTCATGATGTGTGTAACATGTTGTGAGAAATGAATTTAAACTATTTACAAAAGCCAATAAAATCAGTTTTGCAGATCAGAGAAATTCATGTTCACATTTTTTTTGCAGCAGCTTGACTGTAAAAAGGAAGCAAAGTGAGTCCTGCTAATCGCTGATGTTTTATGTATCTTCCATTTTGCAGATACCTCAGATCAGTTATGCTTCACCAGCACCTGAGCTTAGTGACAACAATCGCTACGACTTTTTCTCCCGAGTCGTGCCGCCCGATTCCTTCCAGGCCCAGGCGATGGTGGACATCGTCAAAGCCATGGGGTGGAACTATGTTTCTACTCTGGCTTCAGAGGGGAATTATGGAGAGAGTGGTGTAGATGCTTTCATTCAGATATCAAGGGAGGCAGGTCACGGCGAGTCGAGTTAATGCCAAAGAGCTCAATTTTGGTCTCATCTGACCAAAGTACTTTCTCCCAAGCCTTATCTGAATCATTTTGATGTTCTTTGGCAAACTTTAAACGGTCCTGTACATGTGCCTTCTTGAGCAGGGGGACCTTGCGGGCGCTGCAGGATTTCAGTCCATTGCGGCATAGTGTGTTACCAATGTTTTGCTTGGTGACTGTGGTCCCAACTGCCTTAAGATCATTAACAAGCTCCTCCCGTGTAGTTCGGGGCTGATCCCTCACCTTTCTCATGATCATCCTTACACCATGAGGCAAGATCTTGCACGGAGCTCCAGACCGAGGCCGATTGATGGTTGTTTTGTATTTCTTCCATTCCCGAATAATCGCACCAACAGTTGTCTCCTTCTCACCAAGCTTCTTGCTGATGGTCTTGTAGCCCATTCCAGCCTTGTGCAGATCTACAATCTTGTCTCTGACATCCTTTGACAGATCTTTGGTCTTGCCCATGGTGGTGGGAGAGGTTGGAATGGAAGATACAGATTGTGTGGACAACTGTCTTATACACCTAACGAGCTGACATTAGGAGTAACTTCTTAAAGTGGCAGGACTAATCTGTGTTCCACATGGGCACATAACCAATCTGAGGGAGCCAGAATTCTTGCTGGTTGGTAGGGGATCAAATACTTATTTCACTCACTGAAATGCAAATAAATTTCTACCCTTTATATAATGTGTTTTTTCTGGATTTTTTGGTTGATATTCTGTCTCTATCCATTAAAATAAACCTACCATAAAAATTACAGACCCTTCATTTCTTTGTAAGTGGGCAAACTTACAAAATCAGCAGGGGATCAAATAAATATTTCCCCCACTGTA